GCAGAGATGAACACAAGCATTTTGTAAGGTGAGGCTTTTAACTCTTTCCTGCTATTGGCTCTTTCTGATGCTGGCAATGCTCAATAAATTAAAGAAAGAATTTGTGCTGTTAGGTTAGAATGGGCGTGCAACATGTCCCCACAATAGTGGATGGATAAAGTTTGAAGTTTCCCCATGTTTCCATTTTTTTGGTATGATTTGGAATCCAAAGGAATACACTAGTTTAATGCAGTTCAACTAGTATTAAAATCGTATTTAGTTGAAAGAGAGAAGATTGTGGTTCTCTTTGATTTTCTTTCAAGTATAGGTATTTATGAACCTTTTGTCATGGAACAGGGAGCCTCTGGTATAATTACTAAATGATGGTTATTTTTGCAGGGAAGTTCATGAAGTAGCCAATCAAGCCAGGGAATAGGAATCGGAATAGGAATCTGAATTGGAATGGAAGGAGTGATTTTGTTAAAACGAGAGCGAGAACTTTCGACTCCACTGGAGTTCGAACCCAGAATCTCTGGTTCGGTAGACCAGCACCGTTTCCATTGGGCCACGGAGTCATTTTTCCGTATGATTAACAAATGTTGCCCTGGTACCATACAAAATTTTCAACATCAAGCTCATGTACCGTTTCACAGCTGGTCCAGGCTGGTACATAGTTTAAGTGGATCTATGGAGAAATCAACATAATTAGCTGACAACAGATAACACACCACCCCCAAATGATTTTGTTAGTGGTTAATCCAACATTATATAACTAATAGCTGGCTAATGCTTGATTAGTGTTGATTATTATTATACCATAAACTCCCCTATAAAAACCCTCCATTTCTATCAAATATTCGAAGACCCAGGTCCTAGTTGCTCCAGTATTGATCCATTTGTGCATCACTTAGGGAGGAAAAATGGAGGGTATGAAAATGGCTATGATTCTGACCATCTACATCACGATTCTTGCTACTTTCGCCAGTTTCAGAGTCACCGTGGGGCTCGAAGATGTAGGGGCTATTGCACCATCACGAATGGAGAGTGCTGGAGTGGCTCATGGCGTTCCAGTCATATTCGCGGCGGTCATGGCTTGCATTGTTGCCTGGTTCTTCTGAGTTTAGTTTTTACTTTATTGTTCTTCTAGCTCACTGATGGATTGCTCAAAATTTCCTTCTCCTTTTATTTTATTTTATTTTTTCAAAAAATTTCTTCTCTTTTCTGCTTTCTTGAAGGAATGGATTGTGTTTAGTCCCAGAGAAAGGGAAAATTGATGAAAATTCATTGTTTTTCTTATGTAATATAAGTAAATGAATTTTGTCTGATGACTCTGATCACTGCTAAAATTCATTGTTTTTCCCGAATTGCTCCCTACCCATCTCAAGATTCCGATTTGAGACCAAGCTAGCTCTTAACCATTAACTGAGACTTCACTCTGCTATAATAATTTGCTAAATTCAAGCTCCAAGTCATCGTTCTTCTATGGAACCGAAGAGATCCTTGTATGAACGTTTAGGAGCATCAATACGAGAAACTATCTCCACAACTTTATAAGATGATTCAGGATGAACTAACGCCTCCACAGCAACTTCTGCAACCTGATCTCTGGAAATGCTTCCATCATAGAGAGTATCCTGGAGGAAGAGATGTCAAACTATCTTATGTCAACATTAGGGAAAATGGGGGCAAAATAACTTCAGAATCATGTCATTACCTCTGGCTCCATGACAACATTTCCAGTTGGTGGGTCATTTGTTAATCCGCCAGGCCTTATAATAGTGTAGTTAATACCAGATGTCCTGATGTACTGTTCGGCTTGAAGCTTTGCTATGAGGACGAGTCCAACAACATTGAGAAAGATGTAAGCGGGATTGAAAATTTGTCCCATCGCAGCTCCATTGACTAAAATAGAGCTGATAAGAATGAACCTGTTCACACCAACTTTACGGCATGCATCCACAAGGTTTACCGTGCCAAAATTATCCACCTGCCATACATAAAGCTTACATAAGCCTACAATACTCAAACCACTGAAAAGTATCGTTAAGGAAAAAAAAGTGTAGCTCTGCAACATCAAGACTATCAAATGACAACAATAAATGAACAATTCTTAAGTAAAATGGAAGATGGCAAACAGACTGACTTAAAACAGATTTTTAAAGGGATTTTATAACTCAAAGTGCAATTTCAGGAAAACTTTCTCGCTATATCTATATGTTCCGCAGGAATGAAACTAAGTTCAGGCGGGGCTTCTAAATTCTATAAATTTTAATTGCATGTGAAGACATAATGAAACCAATACCATATCAACAATTAAGTACTAGTGACGTCGTACAAACTGGAATGAGGACTACAATAGATGGAAGATATATGTAAAATGATTCAGGATAATTTATATTGGCAAATAATATCCCTACAAAAATATACATAAGTTTGAAAAGTTCACGTTTTGTTGTGTATTTGTGTGTGAACGATGTATGTACATATTTTTATTTCTGATAGATTTAGTTCTAAAGATGATAATATTACTGTGTTTACTAGAGTACATCATAAACTAGCATTAAGTATCTACAATCTTAAGGTGAGGAAAATGGTATTAATAAGCCTTATACATAATTGCCGGTACTTTATTACGAGATTACGAGATTACGAGAAAAAAGGTAAATATCAGTATCAGGAAATATGAAGAAAGGTTATACTGTATAGGAGAATCTGGCAACAGATAAGTGAATGTAAATGGGGTATCAATCTCACTGAAGATTGAAATTTATAACCTTCCATGGAGCAAACAAATCCAGCCCTCGCTGAAACCCTGTTGCACATATAACAGCTTCTGAATCATCACCAATCACTTTTGCTAGCTTGGCGGAGCCCTCTGTTACATCAGCTTTAACCTGCAAAACCAAATGCACTCACATCTGTAAAACGCCAATAAATTCTACATAATGAATGGAAATAGAGTCAGAGACTACTTGCACTCCCAAAATAGAGGTTCAATTGAGTCATTTACATATAGAGGACCAAACAAACCCCACAAATTTAAAGGACAGAATCAACAGGCAGGCACTAAAGAGCATAATAATCAGCCTAATTGCACTATGCAATGAAATCTTTACCGCAGATCTTCAGAAGCCAAATAAAACTACTTTTCACATAGAATGAACAAATACTCAAAGAAAGAAAAACAAATATCCAATTGACATTTCAATGTCTACTTACTAATTATCAATTTTTGCTTTTTTTTAGGTGTTAGAACTAACAATTTGAAGAGCTGGGTTGTCCTTGGAAAGCGAAGTTTTTGCCTTCTCCAAATCACGCACCCCAGCTTTGACTGCAAAACCCTTGGCAAGCAACCGCTGGACGATCCTTTTCCCAGTATTTCCTGTGGCTCCGGCCACAAAAATTTTCTTTCTAACATTCCCATTTGCGTCTGCGCTCTCAGCGACTTCCTCTGTAATACCACTTCCCTCCATCTAACGAATAGAAAGCAAGCGATTCAACAAAAAGGTAATCAAAAAGGGGAAATGTTAGTATTGAGAAATTGAGTGCAGTGTACCATGGTGAAAGTTATCATGGAAAGAGACCCAATTCTATTGATGGATGAAGGAACCGCAGGAAGGGTTTTACCGACGGAAAGAGGAAAGTGTTGGAGGTGGAAGAAAGCAGAGCTTTTGAGAAGAAGAGGAGCAGCCATACTCAGACCTACATATGAATGAATTAAGGAACAGAAAATTATAGAAAGAGAATCCTCTGCCACAGATTTCCTTTCCTCTTTCTTGCTGTTGCGTCCCTAGTTAAAACGTCATACGTGGCCGCAGTATTTTGTATTAAAAGAGTTTTTTTTTTTCCAATTTCGTATCTTCAATTTCTTTTTCATTTTAGGCCTCGCATGACCAAAATTTCAAATTTTATAATTCAACACCCAAATTTTGAATTTTGTTCTTTGTAAAATTAAAATTTTTTAAATTAATAAGTACCATATATGCTAATGTTTGAATTAGTAGTGAAATAAAAACAATTCTCCAGCCAAACAAAAGGAGAATGCATGATTTTGATCACTACATAGAAGAGAAAACCATATATATACATGATAATTAAGTTACCGTTAAACTCTAATAAGACTTCTGATAGACCAAAATTACATCAGATACTGTATACGCAGGACCGGAATTGTTGCAATAGCATGCAGGATTGTTCATGACATGAAGCACAAGCAACTCCAAACATGGTAGCTTTGCTCTTTCATCTCATACTATCATATGCACTGTTTCCCCAGCTATCATCAAAATGTTTTCATCTTCCAGTTTCTGAGAAATTTTGAAAAAAGTAGCTGTCATTTTGCAGGCAAGTTGAAAATTTTAAAGTATGTAATATGATCACACCAAAACAAAAGAAAACAAATGAAATATGCTTGCTGCGGTTTTTATGGAATGAAAACTGGAAAGTTTACCAGATTGTGTTACTGCCTTGCATTCTAGAGATGTGACCATAGATTATCAGCATTACCTTTAATAGTGACATAATCTCTGCCCTTGTGTAAGGGGCATCTGCTCCAGTGTTGACTACCCCTTCTACCTCTGAAATGGATATGGTGTCCTTACGGTTTGCACGCATATGCTGACCAAATGTAGCTTTAAATGTTTCTAATCTGCTAGCCATTAAAGAGATTGGAAAAGATTTTAGAGCAGAAACAATGTGAAGATGAAGTAGAGATGATTTGGCTAAAGAAAATGGCAATTGGAGTCTCAGGAAGGACTTGGACCTTTCAAGGGTGTTGGCAACAGGTGGCTGTGGTGCTGGAGGCTCATCTACATCCATAGCTTCTGTTCTTGAGCTATAAAAGCCAGAAAGAGTTTATGGTCAGCAACATGAGAAGAGTTTTGACCCACAATAATTACAGCCACAAGTTTGAGTCATGGATGCATTGAAATGAATAAACAGAATGTCAAATTTGTAGATGATTATCTATCAAACATGAATATAGATGTTATTTGGTAGCAATGGCATTGACATTTTTTTCACAGAAAAACTGTCAGGGAATCCAGTTTATAGTCCCACTCACATGGGCATGCAATTGCTAGAGAATGAGAATGACAAGGAGTGCAAAAATTGTTCCATGAGAGCCTTTAAGGAGGCAATGGCATTCACCACTAATGCATTTGCATACCTAAAGAAAGCAAGGAATATCTGCAAGCAAAAAAAAAAAGGACTTGTTGCACACTCACCTCTGACGGTCAGCTCTGCGTTTCCTTCCCTCTTCTCTCTGTCTTTCTTGTTCACGCTCCTCCATCTCGGTCAATTCTTTGTGATATATAGCAAAATTAAGAACTTTCAGAGCAGCTTCAACATCAGTTTTATTAACCTATCCAAATAAATCCATCATCCCTTGGAAAATATATAAACTCTAATGGCATGGGAAAATGCAAGCCAATGGAGCAGATACATACAAAGCATATATATGCCATTCAAAATAAAAGACCTACAATGAGCATGAATTGCACAATAACATCAAATTAACATAAAAATGCATGCAAAAGAAAGAAACAAATATAAATTACCTTTGGACTCAGCTTCAGTTTTGCATGAGCAGTTGAGAGACGTATTATGGTTTCTAAGGTCCTAGCTGTGATTGGAAGTGTACCCCCAGTCTACAAGTATAAAGCATTGCATCAACTAAGCAACAGTAGAGCAAGTACATCAAATATATATCATCAAAGTGCAGTACACAGACCAACCTTAGCATTTGAACTGGCATTTCTGAGCTCTGCATAAGCTGTTGCAATGTGTTCAGAAGCCTGCAAATAAAAATTTCAAAGGGTTACTCCCATATACTCAATTGGGAGACAAGTGAATGGACCATCAAGAGTTAATAGCCAAAGGTACTGCAGATTGCCTATTTAAATTAATCTCTACTGATGAAGAGAGGAACTAAATCACTACCAAAATTACATAAAAGAGGGATAGAGATCAACCTCATCTGTCAGCTCAGGCTGAAACCTGTGCTTTGCATAATGGATGTACTTTTTAAGAAACTTGATAGTAAGAGTATCACGCTTTGGACCCCTATCTCTTTTCCTTCCATGAAGAATGCGGTTATGCTTGACCCAGATAGATGAATCATTATCGGCTTCATCTTCCCTTCCATATCTTGAATTGCCATCAACTGCTGTCTCACCTATATTGTCAAGTTAGATGGGTCAATCTTGCCTCATACATTGTAGAGATCCATCAGTCTGAGCACAAGAGAAAACTCTTGACCTACCTCCATCAATAGCAGAACGATATTGGTGCATACGCAAGACATGACTGGATATTTGACGATCAATTTCAGTATCCATTTGATCCAACACAATAAATAGTAAATCAAAACGAGACAGTAACGAGTCTGGAAGTCCAATATTCTTTGTTGGAGTCAATGAACGATCATACTGCAGATACATTGAATAACTAGTTTAAAATCAGGCCTGAACACTTTTTTGTGGTGCAAGATTGCATTTTAGCATAAAAAATTCATCACTTACAGTTCCATATATGGGATTTGCAGCAGCCACCACACTGCAGCGAGCATTTAGTGATGCATGGATGCCAGCTTTAGCAATAGTTACAGTCTGCTGCTCCATAACCTCATGTATAGCAACACGATCTTGATCATTCATCTTGTCAAACTCATCAATGCAAACAACACCTCGATCAGCAAGAACCATTGCACCAGCTTCCAGTCTTCTTTCTCCTGATACAGGGATATTTAACCTCTGAATTGGAAAAGGAATAGCATACAGTGCTAAAAGTGCTAGGATACAATTGAGATGCCTCACCTGTTTCTTGATCAGAAGTGACAGCTGCTGTCAAGCCAACACCAGAAGAACCTCGACCAGTGGTTGATATGGCCAATGGAGCAATATTCATAATTGCCCTTAACAGTTGTGACTTGGCTACAGAAGGATCACCAACCATCATCATGTTGATGTCCCTAAAAATGAATATGTTTTAGTCTCCTTAATTTTCAGAATCAGAAACATATATGCAAAGTGCAAACATGAGAAGAAAAATGAAAATATGACTCACCCTCGTAAGTGAGTGCCATTCTTCAAATTCTTTTCCACTCCTCCAAGCATCAATAAAATAACAGCCTTCTTTATCCATGAGTGCCCGTATATAGAAGGTGCAAGGGAATTGCCAAGTAGGTCAAATACATCTTCTTTGGCTGCTATCTCTCTAATTTTTTTAACGTCTTCAGTACTGTAGGTTGGTGCATTGGCCTCTTTGTTGAGCAGAGAGACATTATTAGCTATAAGAACGGTCCTGCATAACAAGATAGATTATTCAAAATTGTATAACAAGAGACACAAGGCTACAAAAGAGGAACAAGAAAACAGTTTCAGAAATTCCCATTATGAGGATACCTGAATACTCCATTTACACTACCCTTGCTTTTTCCAGGAAGAGCTTTGTATATGCCTACAATAGCAACACGGTCCCCAGGCTTGCATGAATCAACCAGGTCATCCTCAACAATCACATCCACCGTCCGTGGAAGCTGACCAGGGGCAGCATTTTCAGGAACTTCCTGAATTGATAAGGTCTGATGATCTTTATATTGGCACAGTCCATACTCAGTCACCAATAAATGGCCATTTTCATCCTGAAACAGTATTCTCCATTAAGAATGCTCAATCAAGTGACAACAACAAAATTATGAAATCCAGTTAGCTGAGATTACCCTTGTAGGATACACAGACCCAGTGGGCAAACCATTGTTGGAGGTAATGTCTCGGTACTCACGAGTAGTGAAGGTTCCTTTATCAGGACAGAAGTGCACACTTTTGACAACCTTTGGCCTTACCAGAGAACCTAAATTGAGTAACTAAATATTAGATCCATGCAATCCATAATAACATTCAAATTAGAGATAGGAAAACCCAATTTGAAGAATTTATTGAACATTATCAAGTATGCATCAAAACACAGTATCAAATGGATAGATACTCTAAATGCACACCGTATTATGAATGCAAGAAAGCATTTGAATTGCACAAAATAAAAAAATAAAATAAAATAAAAAAGAAGGCTGACAATGCGACATTAAGCTAGCAGCTCTGAAAAAGACACAACGCGCAACCTCTGAGAAATTCTCAATAATGTATTGTTGGATCTACATACATCAGAAAACACATTAAGTTTAGTCACTAGAACTACTTGAAATACTATAACATTTATAGTTCTACTAGTTATGCGTCATTTTCATAATACCATCCAACAATTTTAAGCTTCTGCCTGCAACTTGCTAATAGATAAACTTGCAACTAAGATCTAAGTTTCTAAAGGGCCAAAATACATCATTCTTCACAAAGTCATTCCATGCTTAGCACAATTTTGAATATACCTCATTGAATGAACAATGTAATTGTAACTAAAAAGTTGAAAAATATGGAAAACGTACATTTGGTGACAATGCCCTCTACACAGACCATGGAACCAATGAACTCCGATAGAAGTTCTCTTGGAGTGACGCGACGAGAAACAAAAGGACCTTTAAAGCCCACAAGAACATGTTCCTCTTCCTTGATGTACAGAGGGTCAATACTCCGTGCCACTTCTGTGACCGCATCACAGAATGGTTGCATGTACTCACTTGGATTCTTTAGTATCCTAAACACCGAACAAAAACTAAATTAGTCAACGATAAAACAAGTAAATGTTCGATCATTTAGAAAGAGAAGGAAGAGAGGGTACTTAGAAGCCAAATTGTTGAAGGAGTGGAGATCGGAAACGTCAACGATGAGGCGGCGGCGCTTCCGTTCGATCATCTCCCTGATCTCGGCTTGGTAAATCTGATCAATCGTTCGACCAAAGAATCATGAATGAATTTATTACTACACAAAAACGCATACATGAGAATCGAATTAACAAAGAGAAGGAGAAGGAGAAGAAGAAATGGTACATCTTGGGACAAGAATTGGCTGATATCCTTTTTCCGATCGGCATAATCCTGAGCTCCGATCTCCATCTTTCTCTTTCTTTGCTTCGATACACACTTTCAGAGAGGGAGACTGAGCCGGAGAGGAAGAGGCAAAGCGGCAAAGTCCTTTTCTCCCCAAACCCTAACCATTTGAGCGGGAAAGGTGTGGAGTACGGTTTTCTTTTGGCGGGAAACTGGTAGTTAGTATTTACTACAGGTCTTTTTTTTCAGATAATTTAGAGAATTTTCAGCAGCTATAGTACATGACTCCTTGGCCTAGAGCTGGGCATTTGGAAACCGAACCGACGGTTACACAGAAATTGAATGAAAAAATTAATTTGGTTCAGTTTTAATGATTTTTGGTTTTTATTATTTTGGTTTCGATGTTAACTAAATAATTTTTTGTTTGATTTCGATTAAACTTTTTAAAAACCAAAAGTAAAAAATAAGCTTCTAAAAATCGAAATTATGATAAATATAATAAAATATGAGATAAAATATAATTTATTATTAAAAAAATAATTAATTAATATTTATTTAGTAAAAATCAAAACCGAATTGATTTTATTAGTAATCAAACCAATTGGTTTGTAAAAACTTCAATTTAATTTCGATTCTCAAAATTAAAAAAAAAAAAATTTGGTTATTTTAAAACCAATTTTAATTTTAACCAAAATCGGTTTTTACCCACCCCTACGTTGACCCAATGGATGGAGCACTGGTCTACAGAACTAGAGATTTTAGGTTCGATCTCCAGTGAAGTCGTTCGCTCACTTTGAAAATTTCCTTTTCGTTGCCTTCACATATTCTATACAAATTTTAGACAAACAGAGTGAAGTATTATTTTGTTAGAAGAAAGTTCAGCTGTATGGTGATTGGTGGTAACTAAGGAAAATTTCAAAAGATGTTGATCTCCACACTTCAATAATCATGAACCAGATAATTGAACCGGTTAAGGGAAGGACAACATTCAGCTCGTAATTTTTAGCAGTAATAACTACAATTGCCTACAAGTAGAAGTGTAAATATGAGCTGGCTCAAGAAGAGGAAAAAGGTTCTCGATGATGTCCCTGTTAATGGCAGATCTGTAAGATTTATATCTCATGACCCACGCATACAAAACTGAATGGTAAGAATTATCAGGCCTTGAAGGGAGCAAATGCGACAACTGAGTTATGTCCACCAAATCCAAAGGAATTTGAAATAGCTGAAATTAAATATGGATAAGTTAGTATTGTTATTTCTGGCTCAATGCAGTAGAAAATAATTGAGAAATGGGATTTGAAGGAATTGCAAATGGAAGTCACAGTGGGGGTTAAATGAGTTTGGAATCTTACCAACATTCACTTCATGCTGCTGCTTTTTGTTGGCAACGGTGTTAAACTCAACCGAAGGTTCAGGGTTCTGCATCCACATAACATGACATGTCAAGTATTATGATAATGCAAAATGAAAATCAAATGATGAAAAGGTTGAATTTTGGGGTAAAAATTAAGAAGTGATCTATATGATCTTTTTGCTGAGGTAATTGGGGCAAGTGGGTTGATAAGTTTCAATGAATTTTAAAAGCAAATGAGTTAAAAGTAGAACATACAAATTGATTTATGGTAGGATGAAGCCATCCTGTGGTTATGGCCTTCACAGTGGCGATGGCTTCCAAACCTCCTGCTGCCCCAAGGCAGTGCCCTATCATAGACTGAAACGCATTGCAGACAACCAGTCAGTCGATAGCAAAAATACTAAAGATCAAAGCATCGGAAGCTCAAATTGAAAATAATATAAGATCAATGGATTGAGTCAAATAGAAGGTGCCTTGGTTGCATTTATTTTGATATCTTTAGTATTCTTGAATACTTTCTTGATCGCATTTATCTCAGCCAGGTCACCAGCAAGAGTAGAAGTAGCATGGGCGTTTATATAATTAACCTGAAAGGAAAAAGAAAGAACCATCTTTGTTAATAGCTTATTATTTAAAGAAATAACTCAATTTCAAGGAAGTTACAAAGAAAAATATTCTAAACATATAAGTTATACTTTAACATTTGAAGTAAATAACTTAATGCTAAGTAAAGCATTCAGTGACCAGGTGTATAACCATTCTAGAAAGACAAGCATACAAAATTAATGTTTTTAATGGATCTGCCTCTTTTCCTTATTAGGATTGTAAGTCTAGATGAGTGTAAAGTACATCAAATTTTCTTACAGAAAAGAATGAGTCATTCAAACTCTGAAAACCAATAACAGGTCATTGCAATGACTTTCAGAAATTTGCATCACATAACAGGGCTCTTAATATCTCTCCCTTGAATTGAAGTGTACATCTTACTGAAAGGAAACTGTAAGCAGAACAGAGTTTTAGTTGAGGAATGAATGTCTGGGTTGTTCTGATTAGATCATCAAGTTTGACCATACAACACAGATTTTTTTTCTGACTCACACCAGAAAAAAAGCAACAATCTGAAACAATAAATTGGTGACATTGAATTTATGATTATGAAACATAGTGAGGAACAAAATAATATAAGAAATAGGAGTTGTCATTAGAACACATCTAACGAGAGCAACGGAACCAATTTCCATCAAAGAAGTGCTGCCATGAAAACATTACCATAATCCACATATATTAAAAACTTCAGAAAAGAAACAAGAAACAGTTACCTCCTCAGGGGAGACACCAGCATCTTCAAGGCTTCTCTCAATGCATGAAGACACCCCAAGTCCATCAGCTCTGGGATCAGTCATATGATAAGCATCACAATTAACAGCCCCACCCAAGTACTCAGCAATAATTGGTGCACCTCTTTTCATTGCATGTTCCAAGCTCTCCATAATCTGGAAGAAAATGATAATTCTTTATAAGAGGCTTTCCAGTTTCTGAAATGATCATGGCCTCGAAGGATATTAACAAAAGCTTACCAATACTCCAGAACCTTCACCCATGACAAAGCCATCTCGGTCTTTGTCCCATGGCCTAGAAGCAGTTTTTGGGTCATCATTTCTTTGAGATAAAGCTCTACAAGCAACAAAACCCCCCAACCCAATTGGAATAATTGCAGCTTCAGTGCCACCAGCAAGCATCAAGTCAGCTTCACCTCGACGGATGTGATTGGCAGCAGCATAGAAGCAATAATTGGACGTAGCACAAGCAGTTGAAATTGAATAATTTGGACCCATGAAACCAAGCTCAATTGCAAGCAAAGCAGATCCCATGTTTGTTATTGCATAAGGAATGAAGAACGGCGTTATTTTCCTGTGACCCTTCTCTATTAGATTTTGAACACCGTCAGAAAATACTGTAAGACCACCCATTCCAGTTCCAACAAGCACTCCAGCTCGCTCCTTATCAATCTGCAATTAACATAAAATCAATAATTTTGTTTGTAAAAAAAAAATAATAATAGAACACATTATTTTTTAATCAAGTTTAATATAGAAATATAAATCATAAGTAACAAGCATCCACCATCAATCATTAACCGGGATCCCATATTAACTATGTATAAAATACTTTACCCCTAAAAATAAATAAAGTAATAAACTTCTACAGATTTGTTCTATTCACAATATATCGCACAGGTTAGAGCTAGTAAAGCATATCTACAATTAAATTTCACAACAAAGAACATACAAGCATTATGAACCACAGTGATTCAAATATATCAATTTCCAGGAAGAAAAGAATATATTTCTTCAAGGAAAAGGGAAAACAAGGAGAAAAGACTAGACAAACCTTTAACCCCTACTCCCACTAACGACTTTGTCAATCAAAAAAGGTTATTCTGCTAAGAACTTAATAGAAATGATCTTAGGAACTCTGAATGAAAAAGAAACATCAAAGCTACATATTTAGATAAAGTAATAATTGACTCAACTTACAAATAGAGAAGTTAAACTCTGCAGCGAAGCATTACTTGATCTAAAACAGGACTCTTAGGGACATTCAACTCAACAAATATGTAGCTACAAAGTTGTCCACAAAATCAAACATCAAAAGCGCTCTCAAGCAATAGCATAAATAGAACCCATGAAAGAATGCTCTTTAGATTCACAATTGGACAAACCAAACATACCATCACTAAACCACTAAACAATAGAAATGAAAGATCTCCAATTCCAATCTAACGTATTACACTAAATTAGTAACCAATCAATGAAGATAGTAATCACAGAAAAATCAACTCGAAGTTGAACTAAACGACAGATTTGCCAGAGGCAACAAATCAGAATCACTCATACATCACAGAGAAAAAAAGAACTAATCAACAAAACTAACCAAGAAAAAAACAGTAAGAAGTAAAATTTAACTTAAAATCAACCTTGGAAAGCTTATCACCCCCAAGGTCAGCATCCTCGAGCGCCTTCTTCCCTCCAACAATACAGTACCTCAAGCAATCATCGAGCCTCCTATCGTTCTTCCCATCAATGTATCCTTGAGATGAAAACCCCCGGATCTGACCCCCAAACCGCGTCGGGAACTTGGACGCATCAAACCGATCGATAGGCCCGATCCCGCTTTCCCCCGCGAGCAATTTCTCGTAGTAAACATCGACATCATTTCCAAAAACTGAAACCAAACCCATTCCCGTGATGACCACCCGCTTCTTGGGGTCCGTCTCCCGGTTCGGAGCAGACACGGTAGCAGATGAGGCGGAGATGGAGAATTTCTTAGCGCGTCTGGATGCATTAGCGAAATGGGAATTTGGGTGGGGTATCTTGATGGGTTTTTGAAGTGGGTAGAGAGGGGATGCTCGTAGAGAGGGGGAGTGGAGAGCTTGCATGGCGGAAGAAGGCGGAGACACCCAGGTGAGGAAAGTGAGATTGCAGTGGGAAAAGTGGGAAGGCTTTGGAGGTTTGGGTTTTACAGCTACACCGAAAATAGAGTCGTCATTATATCCGCAGTGAGAAGCGCCGAGGCGGCGCTGAGTCTACCACTGGCCAGTACTGGAAGGCCACGTAGACATTTAAGAACGGCTGATGTGGTCAGGTGGGACCCCCGGCATCAATGTCAAAAGCTGCGTGTCCAGATGCTTGCCTGCCGTAATTACTACAACCAATTTGTAAGGAGCAATGATATATAGACCGAACCGACCGGTCTAATGGTTTATCCTCGCCTATAGGTTATAGAGAAACCAAAATTTAAATAAAAAAATATTTTTTTAGGGTTGAACACTTGAACGGGTATAATAAAAATAGATATTAGTGTTTGTCCACTTTACCTTTAAAAAATTAAGAGAAAAAAGAACAAAAATTACATTAATGCATATTTTAAAAATATGATAGTTTAATCTTTTTCAATAACTTATTGAAACGACGTAATTTTAAGATAATTTTTTTCTTAATTTTTAGATTAAATGCTAAATTTAGTCCCTCAACTTTACAAAATGAATATTTTTTATCCCTTAACAATTTTTTACATTTTTTTGATCCATTAACTCTAAAAATTGCACAGTTTTGGTCCCTCCATCAGTTAAGTATGATGTGGCAGTTAAATAATTTCATGTGGTATTATTTTTTAATTTTTTTGATGATGTGGCACTAATATATATTATAATTATGTTATATAAATAAATAAAAATGCCACATAGATTAATATACATATTTTAATTAAAAACATATAAAATGACCTTATTACCCTCATCCTCACCCTCACCCTCCCAATCCCTCTTCTTCCCCTTCTTTTTTTCTCTTTCTTTCTTTCTTTCGGGTTCGGTGGAAACCTAGCCTTGCTGGGTTCATCGACCAGCCAAGGCTGGGTTCGGTGGAAACCCAGCCTTGCTGGGTTCGTGACTAGCCAAGGCTAGGTTCGTCGGAACCCAGCAGATCTAGGTTTTGATGAACCCAGCAAAGCTGGGTTCGGTTGAAACCCAGCAAGGCTGGGTTTGGTGGAAACCCAGCCTTGCTGGGTTCGCGACCAGCCAAGGCTAGGTTCGCCGAAACCCAGCAAGGCTGGGTTTCAACCGAACCCAGCTTTGCTGGTAAAGCTTGGTTCTTGTTTTTTCGTTCTTCTTTCGATTTCCATTTCCAGTTGTTAATATATTTAGAGATTGATTTATAATTTGATTGCATTTTTGTTGGAATTTAATTAAAGTTTGATTGTATTGTTGTTGAAATTCAATTAGAGTTTGATTGATATTGTTTATTGAAGGGTTATTTTGATTTGGTAAGCTATGCCAGGTTTGAGGTTTCAATGAAACCCAATAGCTCAAGTTTTCCCGAGAAAAGAGAAGAAGAAGAAATGGGTGGGTTAAGATCGGTTTTATAGATGAAGTGGAGATAAGAGAGCATTCACGGAAGAAGAAGAAATGAATTAAGATCGATTTTACAGATGAAGTGGAGATGAGAGAGCATTCAAAGAATAAGAAGAAATGGGTTAAGATCGATGTTGCAGAGGGTGAACTGGAATCCATCGGAGGTGTTTAGCTTGAAGAAGATGACATGTCATAAAAAAAAAAGTCCAGATAAGCATCTTTTTAAGTTGTGCTTGCCATGTCATAAAAAAAAATATAAAAAATGCCATGTGGCCGAGTTAACGGCTCAAATTAACAAAAGTATTAACGAAGTGCATTTTGTATAGTTGAGAAATAAAAAAAGTGCAAAAAATTGTTGAGGGACCAAAAATATGCAACTCACTAAAGTTGATGGACCAAATTTAACATTTAACCTAATTTTTAGAAAGTAAAATTGATAGGCACTATTTTCATAAAAATATTACCTTGATTTATACACTTACCCTTGTCAGTAATAAAAGTGAAAAAGAGGTGAGTATATATCTCAGATTTTTAAAAAAATTAAAGTCTTCATTTTAAAAATATTATATTTTAATAAATATTTTAAAAAATTAATTATTAAATTTAATATTTTATTAATAAAAAGTA